AATTTGTTGTGATTTATTAAACCATTTATTAATTTCATTATTTAATTCTAAGTCTCCTTTTTATAATTGTTTTGAAACGTTGTAATAATTATCGGATAATGTGTTTCTTATTTAATGAGAATTTATTTAAGTTTTTCTCTTTTTATTTGTTTTGTAAATTCATACGTTTTTCTAAATGTTATTCATTTGATAATAATTTTCTCATTTTTTCAATTCAAGACAATATCTGTTTTTAATGTAATTATAATTTGCATAAAACCAAAGATTATATAAATATTTGTTTAGAAATAATAAGACAAAGTAATACAAAAGTCTTGACACGAGTTATAAGAAATTTTGAGTTTAATTTTTACATTCAATTAACGAAAAAATTTAAGAAATGTTGTGTATTATCGAAGATATGACACATTTGTCGCGATTGTTATCTTATTTTTACTAATTCTAGATATTAAGCAAATATATAATAAATTTAATTCAGACGTGATTTTTATGATTTAATTGAATTTCGAAATATAATTTTTACAATTTGTATGAAAATATTGTATAGAGAAAAGTATGTTATAAAAGACTCGATATAATAATAAAAGTGATTATTTTTAATGCAATCTTTGACTCCGTAATACAATAATTTCAATATAATTTAATTAATGGTTTCAGAAAAGTAATTAAATTACGCAAAAATAAGTTTATTTACATTTCCTTAAAAATAAACTTTTTGTTTGCGTTCACATTTGTAATTCAAATAAAATATTTTAACTTTTTTTGTGTGTAAGTCTTGTGAGAGAAAAATTCCCAAAACTTTTTTAAATCAAAATAAGATTTTGCTTTAATTTCGCGTACAATATATTTTTGGTCCAAAAAATAATAATAAAACTACAAAAATGTTTGTCTGAAGAGTTCAATGGATAGACGAGAATATGTTTGGTTTATTGGACTATAAATATAATTAAGAGTTAGAGCGAGAGAGAGAGAGAGCGAGCGAGAGAGAGAGAGAGCGAGAGAGAGAGAGAGAGCGAGAGAGAGCGAGAGAGAGAGAGAGAGCTACCTGTGCCGTTATATAGTGTATTTTACGGGAATGCTTTTCCACTTCACTATTATATTTAAATAATAGTTAATATATTTTTACATCAAAATAATAACAATTTTTCGAAATAAAAATATATATCTATTCATAAGAAACATGAGACGAAATACTATTCACTTAACGTTTTGGCAAAAAAGTTATTGAACTCTAAAAATGAGTCTAAAAATAATTATACAATTATTTTCGCTTCAATGATAAGCAAAATATATAACTTATTTCACAACTTATAATCAAAAGGAGTTTTACTCTATTTGATTACAACACTTGTTATGATTTGTTGCCAAAACTATGCGTTATTTATGGGTCGGACCACAGGTGTGACAGGTATTGAGTGAATCACATGTTTGTGTTGTTATTGTTGTTGTGTTTGACGTTTCACTCAATGATGGACTCAATGTGCGAATCGATGTGTGATTTGTAAGTATTAGGCATTCATTCATACATCATTCATTCATTCATTCATTCATTGTCTCATTGAACGTATGGTGCAGTTGTGTGTCCAAGAAGTGGAGGTATCGCTGTTCCCGATGTCATCGCCGGTACTGTTCGTCCGATTGCTTCCGAAGCGCACAACACATGCAGTGCTCCGAAGAGTTCTTCAGACAGTGTGTCACTCAAGAGCTTATGAGTCGACGATTCGAGTAATCATTGGTCTTATTGTCTCGTCATATGATCACTCCATTCACCACAAGATGTCTGCTTTGTTTCAGTGATTCATCGAAACGCCGATTATTGGAAATACTTCAACGAAATGGCAGCCAATTGACGGACGACTTGATCTCTGGTGAGGATAACACCGAAGACATTGTGGAAGAGGGCGATGATAGTGAAGACACTTTTGAAGCACGGTTTAAACACTTGGATATTAATGACTCGCACTGTCTGTGGAACCAATTGAGTGATAGTGAGAAACAAGAGTTTAATGAACTCCTAAAGAGTGGCAAAATCGGCGATATAGTGGATGTCTGGAAACCGTGGTGGGAGTCAGCCAGCAATGACTCAACTAAACCATTGGTCACGCCTTTAGACGAGCCAACAGTGGCTCAGACATCAGATAATGTGCCAAATATTCCTCAATTGGTCTCAAATATCACTAAATTAGAAGAACTCATTTCTGTAAGTATTTTATTCCTCATTTGATTTAAGATACAAATGAGACAATGCTATCAATGATTGGGAAACTGTTTCAGAAACCGGTGTCACCGACAGTGTGTCCGGCGGTCGTCAACACACTCTTCAGCTATTGCTATATCTGTCGCGTATTTAATGGCGAATATGATAGCATTGAATCCATTGATGTGTTTGTCAGCAAATGTCCGCAACTTTGCAAACGTATTAATTGCCAAGATTTGAGTCAATCGTTGCAAATGTGTGTCCAGGAAGTGATGACAGAACAGCCCTCGCAGATGGCTATCCAACTGCTCTATGATCTCAAATGTCTCATCGATGGACCGAAACTGAAGACTCAGTGCTCGGAAAGTCCTGAATATGTTTTGAGAGCATTGAATGATTTGATATGTATTATAAACAAAGTGAAGACTAAATGTTCAAAATCTAAGCGAAAGGACATTGAATTGTTGGCCAAAAAGTTGCAATTCTATATGAGTTGGTCTGTGGCTAATGGCTTGTCTTTGGTTGAGACCACCGTTCAAATCAATCTAATGATTGGTAAGTGTTATCAATGTATTCAAGCAATTATGCTAAAAATATTTGCAATTTTCAGATACAATGCTTTTAATGGAAAATTCAAATCAATTGCAAGAGAATAGTGAAGATTTAAGAACCAAATTACGACCGAAAACATTGATAACAGAAATTGATTGAAAAAACCCAAAACTTGTATAGAATTGATTGTGAAGTACTTTTCGGAAAGTACTGACAAATTAATTATTGAATATAAATTACCTGTAATTGAAAGCATTTTTATGTGTTTTCTTAATGCCATCCATATTGGAGGTCAACCCCTCGACTACGGTAATAAACATTGCGAGTGCTATGATAGCAATGATTTCGTAACTTTTAAATGTATTTCCAATTTGTTTATAACTTTGCAAACAAAATCTCTTATCTTAGGTAATGATCTGTTAAAGAATGTAAATCTAGTTTTATGTATAATTAAAATGCAATAAATGTTTTGTATTTTTTGTAGCAAATTATGAATTTGTGTTCAGCCGTAAAGAAATTTCAATTATAGATAAGCTTCAAGTGATGACTCTATTAATTAGTGGCAACTTTGAGATTGTCTTTAGTTGTCATTTAACTCATGTTATAAAAACACAAATATTTTAAATTACAATTTAGAGTACAGAGTTTTATATAAATTACCAGTATCAACTAAAAATGTAATTTTTATTCAAAAACTAAATACAATTTATTTGATGATTTATTAATCATTTGTGACATTCATTTACATTAGTATTGAATGGCTTCGAGTTTAGAGTCTTTGCTGATCTCTTGGAGAGTGTAGTCAGTGATAGTGGACTGACCACTGAATCTGAAGAATCCTCTGAATCGGGAGCCCTTCAGCCAAATTGGGAACCAGAGGGGGTCGTCGGCCCACATGTCCTTAAATGGTATGTCTTGGATGGCAAACCATTTGGGTTTCATCTCTATTCCGGTCATCAAAATCAGGATTAAAAACAAGGAATCGCTTCAATGGTAACAGTAATGAGCGAACCGTCCGATTCTCGCACTTCTCCCGACACGTCCTGTGTGTGGAAGACATGTATCTCCAGGTGTTGAGGGGCTGTCGGGTCCGACACGAACTCAAAGCTCAAAATACCGATTTTCTCCAAACGATTGCACTCCAGATTGCATTCCTCCAGAAGTTCACTACGGATTGGGTTCACCAGAAAAGGCAATCAATTGAATGTCACCGCAGAAGGCAATCGCCCAAAGAGTGTCCAACCGTTTGGCCGCGTCTTCGATTGACTCATTCGCCTCGACTTTACCCCCGAATCCGTTCCACTTATTCACACCAAAGCCACGCTTCTTGAGTCCCAACAGAATCTGTTGGCATTTGTTTGTCACCAAAACTAATGTGTCTTTTCTGATCACTTTATTGCCACTCATTTCTCCTATTAGTGTCTAATTGTCTTCAATTATCAATTGATTTTGATCTGCTTTTAGGGACTGATCTGATCCTTGGGTGACAATTAGTGTCAATTGAAGTAACTGTCAAACAAAGACCAAAGTTTGTGTTCAAACAATAGACAACACATGCTTTCCCTTTGAAAGTGTGAGCATTGCATGCAATCCTGTAATTGTCTGTAAGCGCCACACATTGACTGCACTTCCCATCAAATGCTAACTAATTCATCAAAGTTTTTAACTTTTGTCCTAGTTAACCTGTTTAAACATTACTAATAAATTATATTTAAGGTTTCATATAGTATTAGGGTT